AGACTCCTTTAAACTCCTTCCAGAAACTGAGGCTGAACCCAACATAACACAATAGAGGCTATACGGAAAGGCGTCTGGGGAATTTAAGGTTAAGTGGACCTAAGCCAAGAGTACTAACCACATAATAACTAAGACTGCTTATTTGTTTGCTAATGGCCTGTCACCAAACTGCCATTCCCTTCAAATATGCTGTCAGCTTCGGGCCACCCGTCTCTCCTCCTACTTTCTGACTCTTGACCATATCCCTCAGACCGCTGAGGCCTGACCGTACCAGGGTACGGACCTCCAACGGCCCTCCCTGTACTCATCCTGGCTTTGAATGTGTGTGTGCTAACAACTTCCAAGCCAGTCTAGACACCAACCCTGTCCGGGGGTCTAAACTCACTCTCCTACTCAGCACCTGAGCGGCCATCACATCTCAAAACGACAAAGCTCAAGCCCCACGAGTCTCTGTTGCTGCTCTTCTCTGGCAGGCTATCCTCTCAGACTGGACGTGACTAGACTCCTCCCTCCGTCCCTGAGGGAACCCCAGTCACCCTCCGCCTCACCACCCTGTGTGCTGGAGTGATTTTCCCTCGGAGCTCCACTAGCTCCTGACTGTCAGCTCCTGTTCCCAACTGTTCCTCTCACACGCAGCTAGCCAAACTAGGTTTTGCAAATGTAAACCGGATTACACCGTTCTCCGGATCAAAACCCTGCACGAGCATCCTGTCTCCAGTGTCCAGGGTTCTCCTCGCCTTTCCCAACCCACCGGCTGCTATCGGTCACGCTGTTCCCGAACATGGAGCCCGCCTTCCCTCACTCTAATTAGGTCTCCGCAGTTGTTACCCACCCGAGTGAGGAGTCCTTCTTCCTCCCCCTACTCCCTCTTCCTCCATCCTTTACCATTCACTTTCCTATAGGGCCCTCTGCTGGGGGATGCTCTTTCTGTGTGCTGTGAATACGTACGTATTCCTCTCACTGGTTAAAAATAACAACTGTTTGACCAATAGCCAGGCAGGATGAGGTCAGGCAGGACGATCAAACTGAGAACTCAGATGAGGAGGGGAGATGTTGGGGAGATCCCAGCCAGCAACTGGAGGAGCAAGATGTACAGGTAAAGCCACGAGACGCGTGGCCAAACATAGATCAGTGGAAATGGGTTAATTTAAAGGTAAGAGCTAGTGAGCAATAAGCCTGAGCTGTTGGGCCAAGCATTTTGTAATTCATACTAAGCCCCTGAGTGATTATTTAAAAGAAGTTTGGGGATGGGCCAGGACAGAGAAACCTTTGTTTACAGCTCTTGATTGCCTTTTTTACTCTGAAGGAGAAGCAGCCAAGATCTATTCCGGGTATACTCTAGAAGCTTAATAAAAAATGTGGATAGCGGAGCTGGAGAGATATCTCTGTGGTTAAGAACACTAACTGGTCTTCCAGAGGTACTGAGTTCAATTCCCAGCAACCACCTGGTGGCTCACAGACATCTGCGGTGAGTTCTGGTGCCTTCCTCTGTCATGAAGGCAGAACACTATATAAATAAATAAATCTTTAGAGAAATAAACAATAAATCAATCTTTTTTAAAAAAAAAATCCTTTAAAAGATTTAAATAAGTCTTTTAAATAAATCTTTAAAAAAAAAGACAAAGCTTTAAGATAAAAACAAAAACCAAGACCATCACTCAAAATACACCCTTCAGGATGCTGCCCCTGCCTGAGCTCACAACTCTGGTCTCTGTGAAGAGCTGCCGGGTGTCTAGAAACTCCTCAGGCTACTGACCACCTTAAACACCATCCACTGACAAACAGCCAAGTCACGCCGCTGACAGCAACACATACATGTTCCAGTGTAATGAAAACTGAGACGGGAGACATGGCATTTTTATTCTTTATGTTTTTCAGTTCTGAATCCCAAACAGACTTTGTAAATGCCCAAGAACTCCATTGTTCACCTATGCCCATCCCCACCGACTGTTAACATTTTCCTTCATTTCTTCATCGTCCTCTTTTGTTACCCGCACACTTGCGTAAGTCACAGACCTACTCCGTGATCCTCCAGGACACACTGTCCTCTTACGGAGACATTCACTTATAGTCACAGACCAAGTACCAAAATCAGGAAATCCAGTACAACCCACTAGTCTCCAAACCTCAGACGCAGCCAGCTGTCCCCAAACATCCCCCAGCAGCCTCTAAGACCATGTTATGGGGTTTGTCTCAGTTATTCAAGGTCTGCAGCTCGTAGACGAAGTCCTGGTCCCGCCTGGCCCCACAGCCATTTAGTCACAAATAAACACACAGAGGCTTATGTTAATTACAAACTGTCGGGCCTGTGGCTCAGGATTCTTATCCGCTAGCTCTCTCTTAATTACTAACCCGTTTCTATTAATCTGCGGATCTTCACCTGGTCTCGGCTTACCGGTGAAGCCCAGTCCTCTTTCTCCCTGGCAGCTACATGGTGTCTCTCTGGAGACTCTCTCTGTGTTCCTCTTCCCAGCATTCTCCTGGTCTGGTAGCCCCGCCTACCTTCCTGCCTAGCTACTGGCCAATCAGCATTTATTCGGCAACCAATAAGAGAAACATATATTCTCAGCATACAGAAGGGCATGCCCCATCAATGTCTGGTTCCCCGACCCGTGATGGCAACAGGGTCCCTCTCTGTAAGAAAGGTCCTCCCCTGGGCTCTGCCCGCTATTTCCACACAATGGGACTGAACATTAGACATTTTTGCAGAAATGGGCAGAACGGTAGGTATTCTCTCCTCCATACATCACACTGCTAGAGACATAAACTTCGGTCATTTGTCTAGGAAGGTAAAGTCATCATGTCTCACCTCTGTGGTCATTAAATGACTTATGGGAAGGTTCCCCAAAGAACTGCTGCCCATACTCTGGCACCCACTGAGGATTTCTGCTTCCATCCCTTGGTACTGTGAAGGCTGCAAAATGCTCCGTACGGCTTCCATTGCTGACAATTCCCTGGCTGACATCAGTCAGGAATGTCCCCTGCAAACCTGTGCATTTACTCGCCCAACCCCGTAGGGTTACATACACTTAGCCAGATGTGGTAAGTGGGAGCCCTTCCGGCTCACCCCTCTGTCCTTCGCAGAGGTCCATTTATCTGAGGGCTCCCTTGCCTCGGGAACAAGATGTTCCATTTTTGTACTTTCCCTACGAGACTCTGGAGGGAACCAGCCTCTTTTCTAAAGTGCTGGTGCTATTTAGCAAGAGGTGGTTTTTAGAAAATATGATTTCCAGAAAAGCCTGTATAACTGCTACTGAGCCATCTCAGCACAAAGTAGGACACACATTTTTTTTATAAGCTGTCGTTTAGAAAATCATATCCAGTAAGAAAAGCAATACCTAAAATGTACATTTTTCACTATTGCATCTGAACAACCCAGGTAACACAAACAGCATGCATACATATGGGTTTGGTTTGGTTTTTTATCTTTTTTGGGTGCTGTCTCGGTTTTGGGGGAGGAGGGTTGTTGTATTAGGTTTTTTCTTGCTTGAGAACAAACTTAAAAGTCAGGTGGGTAGGAAGTGGGAGAGGATCTGGAAGAACTTGGGGGAGGAGAAGAATATGATTAAAACATATTTAAATTTAAAAATTGTTTTAAATAGTAAAAGATACAATAAAGAAAAAACTACATAAGACACTAAATGAAGAGTCAATTTTTCCTTTTACACTGAGTAAAATTTTATTACACAGCAAGTTATTTGTATTACTTTCTCAATCTCATAAGTCAAAGCACAAGTCAAACTGTAGCTCAAATTATTTCAGGCTTGTAAGTCACCGCACTTTTTGGTGATGAGAGTAAAGGATCTAGGCAAAGCCAAGAACAGTTATAGTTATACCAGAAACAAAAACAACAGGCATTCTGTTCTAAGCACTTTGGTTCTAAGGTTGTTGCTTTGTTTTGTTTGTTTGTTTGTTTGTTTTTTAATTTTCAAGACAGGCTTTCTCTGTGTATCCCTGGATGTCCTGTAACTCACAGACCTGCCTGCCTGTGCTTCCCGAATGCTGGGGTTAAAGGTGTGCGCCACCACCATCCGGCAAGTTCTAAGATTATCTTTAAAAATACTAAAGTTAAATTAGCAATTTGGTCAGAAGAGAAAGCTGAAATGAATTAGTCTACAGGACAAATTCTTCTGCCTTCCTTCACCGCCATTAAGAACGACCGGCCATTGTGACCAAAAGAAGCCGCAGTGTCTTTAAAGGAGGGTGAGGTGGGCTGCCCCGGGAACCCGGGTGAAAGCAGGAGGTGCTGACACTGCGCATGCGCGGCACATCTGGCCTCGACAGCGAGCACAGCCACGTGCAGGGCGCCCCAAGTCTGCTCATTTGCTCTCCGGCTGCTTCCAAAGCCCGAAGTCAGACTCTGAAGGTTTAAGCTGGCCGGCATTTACTAGATACCTGTGTTACCCCCAAAGCTAAGTGACCCTCCAAATACGTCTCCAGCTCTCTCCCTGCACTGCATGGAGCACACAGTGCCATCGTCCTGGCACTGTCCTCGGGGTGCCTCCCCATGGAGAGACCCAGTGACAGAGTGCTGGAAAAACACTCAGCCCCGGGGGCTGGAGAGATGCTCAGAGGTTAAGAGCACTGGCTGCTCTTCCAGAGGGCCTGAGTTCAATTCCCAGCAACCACATGGTGGCTCACAGCCATCTGTAATGAGATCTGGTGCCCTCTTCTGGCCTGCAGGGATACATGCAGACAGAACACTTTATACACAGTAAATAAATCTTTAAAAAAAAAAAAAAAAAAAAACACTCAGCCCCGCTAATGCACCGCTGTAAAATGCTCAAGACTTCCACTTCCACAGCGGAAGTTAGTCTTTTGTGCCTTTGAATGTCTCCCTTTAACTCTAAGCATCTTGAAGAGAAAGACTGTTTGTTATCCATCACTGTATCCTCTACTCCTGTGATCCTAACAGGTGCTGGATAAACAATGCTGAATAAAGGAAACTAAGAAGCAGAGCACTGAAGAACAACAAAAGCATAAACGTTACAAGTTCTTACCTGGTAACTAACTGCTTTCTTTCCATCACTTCCTGTCTGCGGTAAGGTTAAAGGTCCCGATACTATCCAAACATCTTCAAATCTCTCCGTCAGCTCACGACAATACATTTCTATTCTGAAAAACAAATCAAAATATGTTGCATGTTCGCAGGCACACATGTAAGAAAGAAGCAAGCCACCCAGTCCCTAGGAAAGACACCAAGATATAGCATGTAAGAAATTAACTTAGGGATACTCATAGTGGCGCACCTTTAGTCCCAGCACCAAGGAGGCAGAAGCAATTGGATCTCTATGAGTTCAAGGTTAATCTGGTCTACAGAGTTCCAGAACAGTTAAGGCTACACAGTGAGACCCTGTCTAAAAAATTTAAAGCCAGGAGGTGGTGGTACACATCGTTAATCCCATCACTTGTGAAGCAGAGGCAGGTGAATCTCTGAGTTCAAAGCCAGCAGGGTCTACAAAGTGAGTTCTAGGACAGCCAGAGCTACACAGAGAAACCCTGTCTGGAAAAACAAAACAACAAAAACAAAAATTAAAGCAGTCTTTTGAACTTCAAACTATTGTTAAAAATATATCAAAGCAGGCATGATGGTGCACGCCTTTAGTCCCAGCACCCAGGAGGCAGAGGCAGGAGGATCTGAATACCCAGGAGGCAGAGGCAGGAGGATCTGTATCCAGTCTTGTGGAGTTCCAGGCCAGCCAAGGCTACACAGTATCGAGACTGTAGCTATGTAAGCTCATCCCATCTGAAGCTGAAGGTAAGAGTTACACTTGCCAGTAAAAGTCAAAAGCTAACTGCAATTCCCCAAGTCTCGGCTATTTCTAGAACATGTTATTATGAAAGACTGCTGGAACCAAACAATCATTCTATTGACGCTAGTCACCAGAATGTATCCTTCCTAAAAGGCTAAAGATACTAGGGACAGGGACTCATTCCCTAACTAGCTTAACACAAGGAGCTCTTGGGTTCTGGCCGCCCCATGCGGCAGCTATCTATCTCCAGGGACAGAGATGGAGGTCCACAACGCAACCATCAACATGGCAGTGATGTGCACTTTTTATACTGCACTTGGACGCGAGGTCTGAAGGAGATGGCAACCCTTGTCATCATTCCTCTCGGTTTCTTTCGAAGTGCAGCTCTCCTCCCTACAAGATCTCCCTCGGGAAAAGGTGAAAGGCTCCCATAGGTGTGCAATCAGAAACGCAACATGGGAAGGGGTAAGAGAAACACCCCAGAGCTCTAACGGGTTGTAAGGAAAAGTTCTACAGGGGAGTGAAAGGATCCATGAGTTGAATTTCAACCTTAACTGGATCCCAACAGCAACAAGGCACTGGGGGGGGGGGGTTGAACCCCGTAAAGCCGCTACTAAAGAGTTACTGTTAATTTTTTTAAGTGCAATAACAGCATTGTAGGTTACATTTTTAAACAATTCTTTTCTCCTAAAAATATAATTTACCATCTGAGCAGGTGGTAGGGTTAGAGCACAGATGTACCGTGACTGGTAACTACAGGTGTCTTTACAGATTCCTTTCGTGGTTTTCATGTGTCTGTGTTTGCACAGGAGCGCATGGGTGCAGGTGTCACAGGGGCCAGGAGAGGTGTGAGAGGCCCCTGGAGGGGGCTGGCATGGCACACGGCTGCGGGCTAGCCGGTACGGAGGCTGAGAACCAGAGCAACAGCAGCCCCTAACCACTGAGCCGCCCCTATGGCCCCTGGGCTTTTAAGTGCAGGGAATAGTCTTAAGGTTTACTTTTTTTAAAACTTACTTCTGGTTTTATGTGTGCGTTACCTGCACGGATGTAAATGGGGAAGCCATCACCCCAGCTCTACTCCCTGCCTTTCCTTTATTTGCTTTCGGTTTCCTGGTAGTAGGGATGGAAGCCATGGTCCCAGCCCACCTGAAACAAGTAGTCCATCAATGAACTACACCCCTGGCCTTATTTGGAACCATAAAGTATTACATAGGACAAGCACACCTGCCTGAAACAACCTCAGCCAGTGCTGGTCCCAGACGCCTGGTGAGACGGCCTGACAAAACTTAGCAATGTCAGAAGGCAGCAGAAGGCTCAGATGCTTTGGTTTCTACCACTAAAATGGTTAATGGCCGTGCTGAGCTGTAACACACCAAAACTTTTCTCTTACAAAGCTCAAAAACAGGCAGGTGCGGTGGTGCACCTGTCAGCCCAGAGCTTTCAAGGTTGCGGAAGAAGAATCCCAAACTGGAGGGCAACTAACAGTGCCTCCCAAAGGAAGCTTAGAACAAACGAAGCGTCTTCCCTCGACACGCTGCTCAGTTACTATGAGGAGCATTATCTGGGGTAGTTTCTCTCCAAACCCGACTGGCGCAGGAGCAAACCACCGAAGAGGCAGGCTACGTTTTGAAATCTGTTCTCCCGTAGAGGGTTGTACTCCCAAATACAGCCAAAACTGGCCTTCCAGCCAGGAGGGCATCTGAAGAGCAAGAGAGACAGCACATAAAACGTCAACAATCTCGTCATACCACCCACCATCCACACCTACCTATTCCAATAGCCAGAATTATTATCAAAATTCTGAGGCACAATATTGGAGAGGTAAAAGGTTTCAGCCATGGCTTTCTGTGAAAGAAATTAAAAAAAAAAAAAAAACAGCGTATTATTCTAGCATGCTTTCCCTTCTACAGCTCCACAAGCAGATGCAGGCAGCCCCGTATTAACACCCTGGCTCTCTCTAACATCGGTGACTGCAGGACTACTCATCAGTAGTCCTCACATCAGCAAACCCATCTACCTCCCCGACCCACTGATACTTCCTTAGATTAACAAAGACAGACAAACCCGTCACTGTGCAAAAGAACCACCCCAGGGCCAGTGAGACTGCTCAGCAGGTGGAAGTGAGGGGTAGCAACCTCACAACCCTGTTACCCCGACTTCGTGCCCAGGGGTGACATAAAGACCAAAGGAGAGAGCTCTACAAGGTTGTGCTCTGGTTTCCACATACAACACACGCACACACACAATATAAGCAAAATAATTTTTAAAAAGACTAACTCTGTATCAAAAAAAAAAAATTTAATGAATTGATTCTTACAAAGACTATCAGCTGAGTACAGTGGCATATCCCTATCATCCCAGAGCTTCAGAGGTGAAAGCTGTCATATCCCTATCATCCCAGAGCTTCAGAGGTGAAAGCAGGGGACCAGAACTTGAGGTCATCCTAAGCAACATAAAACGGGCTCTAGGACAGCCTGTACCACAGAAGGAGGAGGAGGAGGGCCACAACGTAAGTAGTTCAGTGTGTCTGGCTTTTCTAACCATTTATAACATCCAAAAACATGTTTATAAGCTCCAAGGAATAAAAGCCTCCAAAGAAAGTTTGAGAGTAAATTCTGGCTTTAAGCCTCTGGAAGAAAGGTCAACTTTCAGGAATTTCATTTAAGAGGTGTGAAAAGCAAAACTAAACAAGAAGCTGGACGTTGGTGGCGTACGCCTTTAGTCCCCGCACTTGGGAGGCAGAGGCAGGCAGATCTCTGTGAGAGAAAACCGGTAGCTTGATCTCCTAGGGGCTTTTCAGCCCCCTTTACATTTAGAATTTAGTTTTCACAAGAGACAGACAGACAGACAGACATTCTCAAGCTTTATGGTTTGGTTCCTAGATCACCAGCCACACGCCTTCATCCTCTCAAAAGTATGCCTACACTGGAAAACTTGTTATTTCCCGCTGGGGCCATGTGTCCTCGTGACCAGCCACTTCCAACATAGTCCTCATTGAGGGCACTGAAGGTTGAAGGGACACTGGGATCAGGCTTGAATTTACAATGTTTTCTGTTCGCGTCACCTAAAGAAAAACACAACATGGTTACCAAAGGATCCTAGGGCAGGCAAATTGGCTACTGTGTGAAGTTATCACTTTGAGCGGCTGTTATCAGGGACCACGTGCATGTCTCAAGTTCCTAAAACAGTTCAGATATTTCACCTGAGTAAGGCTTGGTGTAGGACAGGATGCTTCTTATATAGTGAAGAATTTCTCACACTGAGGTCTAGGACAGGATGCTTCTCCTAGAGTGAGGCTATCTCACACTCTGACACTGGACTTCCCAGTTAAAAGAAAACCATACTGGACAGAACTCCAGTGAAAATAAGGAGGCAGTAAGGAGACAGAAAACTTCCCCACTAAATAAATGTGTAAAAGTACCATCGTGTAACTCACAGCGGTTTGGACAGCACGTACAAGACTTGCACAAGATCAAACCAGACAAAATCCCAATGGGGGGGAGGGGAGTCACAGAGTCCCTCTTTTCACTGAGGAGCATTGGCTACTGGGAGAGGGACTCAGTTTTCTTCAAGAATGCTGCCCCTGAGGGCTTACCCACACTCCAATAGATGATCCCACACCCAGGCACATACTGACAGCACAAAGTGAGTCTGGGAAAGGGAGCCATTAAAAAAGAAAGAAAGGAAGAAAGAAAGAAAGAAAGAAAGAAAGAAAGAAAGAAAGAAAGAAAGAAAGAAAGAAAGACCAACACCTGAATAGTGGTAAAAGAGACAGGGAAGAAACTGAAGGAGAGGGAATCAGGGATAGCCTTGATCCAAACCCATAATATGCATATATGAAATTCTCCAACAATGAAAACAAAGTAGACCCTTGTGTACTATGTTATACAAAATTATATCATGACAAGTTCATTTGTACTGAGGTAATGGATAAAAGGTAACTATAGACACAAAACAGTCTGTTCTGGGCAGGCTCAGCAGGGGTAAGGAAGATGTCTTATATCCTGTCTATTGCCTCTGAAGCCATGACAAAGTAAACATCTCAGGTAGGAGCTCCACCCAGAACGCCTAAAACAGATTCCGGAGTGGGACGAGTATTTGCAAATAGTGGTATTTTGAATGAGAGTGGCCGCCATAGGCTTCTATGTCCTGAGGAGGGTTAGAAGGATTGGAGGTGTGGCCTCTCGGAGTGGGCGTGGCCTCGTTGGGAGTGGGCTAAGCTCAGGCAGGTCAAAAGGTAGCTCTCAGCTACTTGTCCAGCACCATGCCTGCATGCTTGCAGCCGCACTCCCCAGGAAGACAGCACCCTCACCCTCTGACACTGTAAGCAAGCCCCAACTAAGAGCTTTCTTTTAGTAAGAGTTGCCTTGGCCATGGCGTTTCTCCACAGCACAGAAAAATGATTGGGACAGTGTTTATAAATCAATAGAGTTAGCTGTACTTTACCACCTCAAAACTACCCCACTCATGAGGTTTATAACGGGGAAGGCACTGATTTCCTTACACCTCTCAAAATAATCACAACAGCAGGATAAAGTGAGTAAAATTAAAATTATTCCATTATTTCACCTTATTACGCTCGAGTATAAATCGAATGAGCTTGTGGGATATAAATTTAGAGTTAGAGGGTACGGAGACAGCAGAGTAAAGATTTGATGCCAAGTACGAGGACCCGAGTTCAGATCCTGAGGAGCCATGTAAAGCCAGATGTGGGAACACACATCTGCAATCCCAGCTCCGACAACAGGAGCATCTCCCGAAGCTGGAGGCAAACTAGGCTGGAAACAGGGACAAACAAGAAACGATGTCTCAAACAAGGTGAAAACCAGGGAAACTAACTCTGAGGTTGTCCTCTACCCTGCACACACAGTGGGCCAGTGCGGTCCACTCTCAAGATCATGCACACACATGCACACGCTCACAGAAATTAGGATCAACTGTCAACGGCTGCAATGGTTTCCTCTAACAAGTACGTTCTGAGGTCCCTGCTACGCTACTAGGTTTTGTATGTCCTGGGGAGGCATACGTGAATCCTGATATTAGCATTTTAATCCTCACAGACAGCATGTGTTCTTAATCATTGTGTGCATGTGCACGCACGCGCCTGTGTGTGTGTGTGTTCCCATGCCACACAAAGCAAGAATGCTCAAGACAAAGGACAACTTTGTGGAGTTAGTTGTCTTCTGCTTTCATGTTGGCTCTGAGACTCAGGTCAGCCTTGTGCAACAACGCCTTTATAGTCTGAGCTGCCCGCCAGCCTCAAGGCACACATTTTAAAGAGAAATAATACACAGACCTTACATCCAATGGTAAATCACAAATAGGAATGAAACTATCATGGTAAGTGGGATGTGGTGGGGCACCCTTGTGATCCCAGTACTTAGAAGGCAGGAGTCCAAGGTTATCCTCAGCTAGATATAGATAGATTGATAACCTGAGGCTAGCCTGGCCTACATCATGCCTTAAAAAAAAAAAAAACTATAGCAAAATGTGTGTGTGTTTGTGTGTATAGTAAAGATAGTAAAGAGTTACTGTACCATCAATTTATTTTTGTTACTTATATTTTGAGGCAGGGTCTCATAGTGTAGTCCTAGCTGGCTGAGAACTCCTCCTTATAGAGACTAACCTTGAATTCCCAAACACACCTGCCTCTCCTAAAATTAAAGGTGTTCACCACCACACCCAGCAACACAGTTTTAAAGACTACCCCAAGCCAAGTGTGGTAGCATGCATCTTTAACCCTAGCATTCAGGAGGTGGAATGTAAGGTCTCTAAGAGTTTAAGGCCAGGCATGGATACATGAGGCCCTATCATGGAAAAATAAAAAATAAAAAAACAAACCCCACCACCACCTCAAGTTACAGAGAAAGAATAGTTCACAAAATACCACCTCTCACTGACAATAAAGTCAGCTATTAGACTCGGAAAGCTTAACAACACTCATTACAGGCGAAGGCTGGAACCGGACACTCGATAACAGCAGCATAAACTGAGATAAACCTACCTGGAAACCAATTTGACATTCATTATCAAGAGCTGGTGATGTTGACTAAAGACTCTTCCAAGCCACGGAGGACACGTGAACAGACGTCACACCCGGCAGCCTCCAGCCTCACTGTGCATGCTGCACCACTCTGGGCCTTCCGTAGGACAACCCCCCCCCCCCCCCCCAATGCACAAGGTCTTCTCCACAACTGCTTCTTCCTGCCAGAAAGGCTCTTCTCCAATCCCGCGGCCCACCCTACCCAAGCCTGAGTAACTCCCATCCATCGGATCCTCAGTCCGCTTTGTCAGAGAAACAAAACCATCTCCTGCGTCACCTCTAGCACATTCCGCAGTGTCCCTTAGTGACACTATCCTGACCTGCAATCCATTCTTCCAGAAAGGTAGCTAGTAATCTTTATCACAGGCTCATCATTATCTGACAGGCCAACCGGATTCCCTGGAAGGTGGTGGCCCACACTCTCAGGCAGGTCTGAGTTCGAGGCCAGCCTGGCCTGGCCTACAGAGTGAGTTCCAGGACAGCCAGGGCTGTTACACAGAGAAACCCCATCTCGGGAAAAAGACAAAATGAATAAATACATAAAAGAATTAGATAAATAAAATGCCATGGGACTACAGACCGCAGAGTAGAGTCGCGGCTACACCCCACAGCTTTGCAGCACCGAGCAATCACACTTAGCGGGTGTTTAAAACACACCTGCTGAGGGAAAGATGGCGCTCACTGCATCTCTTTACGACGGAGCCTAGAAACTCAAGTGTTGAAATACAGATGTTCTCAACCCTGGAACAGCTTTGAAGGGTCTTGGGCTCCTTGGATACTAAGCTTGATCCATTTAATCAGGGAGCAAAACAAGCACTATTTTCAGGGTGTGCCGTGAGGTGCAGAGGGCGAAAATATCACCAACAGGCCCCTTTCTCTAAACTTGGGGCCCTTCCATGGGCATCCGCACTCTGTTCCAACCACCTACCTACGATCTTGTCCTTGGATATGTGTTCAAGGACCCATCTGGGCACCCGTTTTGCCTGATCGTAGGACAAGGCATGATTAGTGTAACGTCTGGTCTCTGTTCCAGTTAAAGGAAATCCAAATTGTTCCAAGACAACTTTTTCTGCAGATTCTAAGAAAGAAAAAAAAAGAAAAGAAAAAAAAGGAGGGGGAGTGAATAGAAAAAAAAAAAACAAGTAGTGAACAAAGGATTACAAAGACAACAAGGATATCTAAAAGCATATGGCTCAAAGGTCTCACCAGGGAGCCATTGATTACCAGGGCTGAAGAGCCGAAGAAGGGTCTAATCAAACAGACCTCATTTTTGCAATTATTAAGTCAAAGAAAGTAGTGTTTAGTAAAATCCTCACCTGCCTACATTGTGTATTCACAATAAGCTTCAACTCCGTGGTGTGTATTTGGTTTTGAAGCTGGGGAATGAACTCAAGGTGTTGATCACAATAGACAAGAATTCCAGTAGGGCCACAGTCCCAGTCCTTTACTTCTGACTTTGAAACAGTTTCACTACATTGCTCAAGCTAACTGGGAACTCACTCGGTGGCCAGGAAGGCCTACCTCCACCTACCACACTCAGTGATAACTTTTAAATAAGGGCCTGGCAGGAGGTATGCAGGGCAGAGGCAGAGCATAGCTCAGTGACAGACCTGTGCATTACTAGAGGCCCTAGCTTCAATTCCTGGTACCAAAAAGAAACAAGGACCCGATCCTAGCAGTTTTCCAAATCTGTCTGCACCTCAAACTATAAGAAGACCTCAAAGGAAAAACTAGCTATTAGTCACTGGTAAAAAAAAAAAGTGTTCATAATGAAGGAGACAAAAATGGCCATAATTTTAGTTTTTCATCATCATGATATCTCATCTGCCAAGCTTATTCATTTTAGTTTTCCTAAAGACCATAGCTCCCTGAGTGGGAGCACACACCTACCTGTTACTCCAACAAGTTTGATGCCTGGCTGGGTCATCGTGAGACCTTGACTCAAAAAAAGAAAGAACCCAAACCATCCCTCACTCACTGACGCTTCCCCCAATGTCTTAATACAAGGATAGACTACAGCTGGGCTGCGGGGAGGTTGGGAAACTGGTACTTTCTCCTAATGGAAAACAACCGGTTACTCGGCATGCCTTGCCAGGCACCAGCCCCTGATACAACAGCAAGTGTCAAAGAAGCAGGTTGCTGGGAGTGAACTAGGATGGGCTGGGCCCGCGGGCGCCCCGGGAACACAGGATTTACATACTGAAGACTGGGTGGCAGTCACTCCTCACACAAACTTGCAGTGATGGTTAACGCTGTCAATGTGATAGAATCTAGAATCACCTGAGACACGCCTCTGGGTATGCCTATGGGGTGGGGAGGGGGCTGACCAAGGCTGTATTCGTTGATGTGGGGACCCCCAGCTTAACTGCGGGCGGGGCCGTCCCTGGCTGGGAATCCCACACAGGGGCCGAGCAGCGGCTCGCGTCCCTCCCCGCGCCCTGATCGTGGAAGCCATGTGGCCAGCTGCCTCGAGCCCGCCCCGAACTGGAGCTCAAACCAACCCCTCCCTCACGCTGCCTTCGTCGGGCACTGTGTGGCTGTGTGGCTGTTTGTGCCACTGCAACAGGAAGAGAAACTGAGACACTTACTGAAGGCCAGCTCTGTAGCAAGCACCGTGCTGCGAGTCTCAGCTCGGGGCGGTGACGCGTGAACCCGGAGACTTACCGTGCGGCTCCCGCTCCGGATCCGGCTCCGTGGCGTCCCGATGCCCGAGGAACTGCAGCGCCGTCAGCCCCGCTCCCGCGGCGCCCACCACCGCCCCGGCCAAGAAGCCGTTCAGAAACCGCCGCGAGGCCCCGAGCCGGGACGAGAAACTCTTTGCAGCCATCGCTCCGGGCACGCCAGCGCTTTGGCTCCGCCGCGCATGCGCACACGTTCCGGGTCCGAAGCCCGGGAGCGAGGCGCGCACGCGCGATCTGGAGCCGCCGTCCGCAGGCCTTCGCGGCTCGGGGCCTCGAGCGCCCCCTGCTGACCAGCTGGAGCAGGCGCGCCTGCCTCCATCCCTGGTCCGGGCCAGGTTGAAGGTGTCATGACTTGGAGTGAAACGCTCTACCACTGAGCTATACTCCCATGGATGGAACTTGAAGAAACCATCCTGAGTGAGGTAACCCAGTCACAAAAAGAGGAACATGGTACGTACTTGCTCATATATGGATTTTAGACACGGAGCCTATAATTCTCTCTGCCGCAGAAACTAGGATACAAGGAGGATTCTAAGAGATTCATATAAGGTACTTCACAGACGAGGAAAGGGACAAGATCTCCTGAGCATATTGGGGGGGGTTGGGGGCAGTGAGTGGAGAGGGAGTTAGGAGAAAGAGAATGGGAAGAGAGGAGAACACGTGGGACCAGGAAGATTGAGAGGGGGGAGTATTGACTAGAGCAAAAAAAAAAAAAAAAAAAAAAGAGAGAGAGAGAGAGATACCATAATAGAGGGAGCCATTGTAGGTTTGAAGAGAAAACTGACTCTAGAGAAATGTCCAGAGACCTACAAGGATGACTCCAACTAACAATCTGAGCAACAGTGGAGAGGCTACCTTAAATGCCCTTCCCTGATAACAAGATTGATACCTAACTTATATGCCATCCTAGAGCCCTCATCCAGTAGCTCATGGAAACAAGCAGAAATCCACAGCTAAACACTGAAATGAACTCCTGGAATCCAGTTGCAGAGGAGGAGGAATGATGAGCAAAGGGGTCAAGACCAGGCTACAGAAACCCACAGAAACAGCTGACCTGAACAAGGGGGAGGCCATGAACCCCCAGACTGATAGCTGGGAAACCAGCATTGGACCGACTCAAACCCCCTGAATGTGGGTGTCAGTTAGGAGAACTGGGCAGTCTAAGGGACCTCAGACAGTGAAACCAGGATGCATCCCTGGCGCAGGAAGGGACTTTAGGAGCACATTCCCCATGGAGGGAGACTCCCTTAGCCTAGAGGCAGGAGGGAGGGCCTAGTCCCTACTCCAAATGACTTGACAGATTTTGATGATCCCTCCAGGAAGGCCTCCCCCTCCCTGTGGAGTGGGAGAGGGGGGGTCAGGGGACATGGGAGGGAAGGAGGGTGGGAGGGAGAGGGAACTAGAATCCATATGTAAAATAATAAAAAATTAAAAAAAAAAGTGTCATGACTTGCGGGTTTAGCGGTGTGCGAGTACCTGTCCTCAGAAGAAAATGCCTTTAGTCCTCCTTTAGTAATGAGTAGATGCGCCCTCGTGATCCGGCTCGGTGTGATTCAAAACCTGCACCACATTGCAACACCTGACTTCGAGTCAAAATGCACACATAACTCCCTACAACTACACCTTTGCGCTTCCTTCTCTCGTGGTAACCAGAGACTCGGCTGAGCTCAGGAACTTAAATCCCTGCCAAAGTACCCAGGCGCCATTCCGTCATGTCTCCTCTTTTAGTCTGCGCCTGAGCAAGCAAAACTGCTTATCGGATAAAGGTGCTTGCCACCAAACTGACAGCTTGAGTTCACTCCCTGGAACCCACTGGGTGGAAGGTGAGAACTCCTGAAAGCTGTTCTCTGACCTGCACAGGTGTGCACTTCCCCGCACGCACGTCCACAGGTGTGGTGCGCACAGCCAGACGTAAACAAATAAACCTGGTAAGATTGCAGTCCAAGCACTGGCGAGGCTGAGGAAGGAAAGTCTGAGTTCAAGACCAGCCCAGGCTATACAGTGAGTTCCAAATGGACCTCAGCTGCGTAGCAAGACCTGTCTCAAAAGAGAAGTTAAAATCATGGTGTTCATCATCATCTTAGACAGCAGGCGTCCATCTCGGGACTGAGAAGGTTACCCGTAAGATGTGAACCGGCAAGTACACTGTTACGGTACACTCTACTTGCTCTTAGAATATGAAACTGATTGATGGAGCCTGGAGGGGTGGCTTGGCGATTAAGAGCACTGGCTCCTGAATGCTGGGATTAAAGGTGTGCACCACCCCTGCCCAACTAAAAGTGAGTCTTTTTTGTTTAGTTTTGTTTTTCCAGATAGGGTTTCTTTGTGTAACAGCCCTAGCTGTCCTGGAACTCACTCTGTAGACCAGGCTGGCTTCAAACTCAGAGATCCACTGGTGTCTGCTTCAGAGTTCTGGGATTAAAGGCATGAGCCACCCAGTTAAAAGTGAGTCTTAAGTCTTTACTTTTCTACACTCACTAATGAAACATTAACTTTCTATATCTAAGTATAGCCAAAGGTTATACTTAAAAAAAAAAACAAAACATTTAAGAGCCTTCCAGCAGTAGGGCTCAAAAACAATGTTTCTCCGCTTAAACAAATTAGTCATAGGCCCTAAAACCTCTTCTGCAGAGAGCAACAGGCTGATTTCTGAAGCTGTTCTCTATGAGGATTCCTGTTCTCTTGATATTGTGTTACTTTTCTCCGTTTCTCAGCCTCCCACCTTTATGCAGGTTCTAGGGATCAAACTCAGGTCCTCCAGCTCATGTAGTATCTTTAATCTGGCAGACATGGAGAAGCATGCTTAGCTCCAGCCCCACGACAGCCATCAGCAACTGCGTGTGTCAAGCAGGAACAAACAGACTGTAGAACCAGCCTGAAAGCAGGGAATGCTATCTTATTAACTTCTAATTCCCACAAAAAGAAATGTCAAACTCCTGCCACGTAATTAAGACAGACCGAGATGGGGCTGGTGACCCAAGAACCATTCCCTGTGCCCATGTTGGGCAGCCATAACCACCTGTACCTCCAGTCCCAGGAGATCTGACATCTCCTCACTTCCTTGGGAACAGAACTCACATGCAAATGCCCCCCCCCCAAAGTAAAAAATGAAGCCAGGCAGTAGTGGAACACACATAAATAATCCCAGGGCTCATGAGACAAAGGTAGGTGGATCTCTGAATTTGAGGCTAGCCTAATCTACAGAGTAAGTAGGATAGCCAGAGCTATACAGAGAACCCTGTCTTGGAAAAAAGGGGGGGGAGTAGTGGGGGACACTAGAGAGATGACACAGTGCTTAAGAGCAACTTGCTTCCCTTCCAGAGAATCCCAGTCCCCAGCAACCACAAGTCAGCTCACAACTGCCTCCCAGTATAACTCCAGCTGCAGGGAGCTGACCACCAACTCTGTCCCCAGGCATCCACACACAGACAGCATACACACACACACACACACACACACACACACAGATTCACAAATTTAAAAAAAGGAAAAAAAGACAGACAAGGTTACTTCATTTATTATTATTTATTTTCATATACAAAAAGATAAAACTTGAAATAGTTCTAGATTTTTCCTCCTATTCTGTTGGGGGTGAGGGTGTGTGGCTGCTCCTTCACACAGGGGGGAGAAACTACATTCACATCGGTTTGTTTGAGGGCCCAGTGCAGAATTCAAGCAGCAAAACCCCAACTTAGCAGATCTAACTTCAAACTCGACACTCTTCTCTAAAATTACCACAGGAAAACGGAGCCAAGACCACTGCAAATGAATGAACTGGGTTACAGGGTTCGCCCCGAAATGTTTACACTTCGAAACTGCAGTTACATGGATGTCTGCTTCAGGCCATGACAGGGGTGTGTGTGTGTGTGTGTGTGTGTGTGTGTGTGTGTGTGTGTGTGATATATATATATATATATACATATATATACATATATATATATATATATACATATATATATATATATATATAAATCAGCACACTTTTCAAATCCAGACAGGGTAACAGCAACAAGCTTAACTCTGTATATATATATATATATATATAGTTTTTTCTTTTTTAAGACATGATACTTTAGTATAACTTTTGTTAATTCAGTAGTACAAGCTATTTTCTGTTCTACAAAATGTTTGTTTTATAGCTACAAGGGTGAAAAGTGTCCTACTTACATTTACACCTCACATATTCCGGCTTACAAACAGTACTTAGTCGAATTTGAGCCTAAACCTAGAAGTTTTTAGTTTTAGCACTTGAGAGAGCTTCCTCACGTCTGCAGCCTGAAATCATAGACTAGTCACACCTCCAGACTTTGCAATGACTCGGCATTTTATACTTCGAGAAACAGATGAGTCCAAACTTTTAATTACAATTCATATATACAAGTTAGATAACACAGCTCAGTGAAACTTAGCTACCCATCCTAAGGGCAACACACACATTCTCCACTGTCAAGTCAGACAAGTCTTAAGGTTTTTCTTCCAAATAATGTACAAATTTAGAAATAGCTGGTAAAACTGATATATAAGATGGTAAATAAAAAGTGACATTTTCTGTTGGTTCTCAAAATTGTCCCTGCAAAATTCCATACTCTGCTGTGTTTCTTAACTCGCTGTCTGTCACGTGCCAAAGCTGCTTCTTCCCAGGAATCAAACTCGAAATGCAAGGTAAGTTTACCGTACTGCATAACACTAATCAGATTCAAGGACAAGCGTGGGAAAATAGTAACTGGTGAAAAACTTGGCCTTTAACATCACCGCTGAAATCATGTCAGGTTCATAAGCAGATTGTCTTGTACAGTTGAAAAATGGCATTATGTGGAGTTGTGTCATGGTACTGAAACCTGAAAGTATGTTTCTAATCTGCGGTAACCCTCGCCTTCAATTCTCAAGTACCACTCACTTTTCTTTGCATCTTTTAGAGAATTCTCGGGGTAAAAAAATGAGGGAATGCAAGCAGCCGGCATTTTAACAATTGCAATCTTGCTGGCGACCTCCTGCACACGTGACAGCTGCTGCTTGCTCCCAGGCGGCCTCTGACAACTAGTGTTTCCCACTAGGGTCTGTCCTGCCTTTCCCTTATGGGGGAACTATTTGGCTAATCTCACACACTTAACTCTGGCAGTGCTCTGGGAAAACCCCACTAGGGCTA